TGTTTCTTATGTTTTCTCTCCAAGAAAAAAATGGGTAGCTTCTTTCAGAGGTAGCTTATTTTCAGCAATATACAGTAGGTTAACTAAATTATAGTACATACCAGAATCTTCAAAAAAATTATCAGGCAATTCTTCTTCATCTATAATATTTTTATAGTATAGATCTTTAAGTATTGAAAAATGTTGAACCGGTTCTTGCCCAAATACAAGAGAGTATGGTGATTTGCCTGTTGTACAACTTGTTTGAATATTTATTATATCTAAATATAGTAAAAAAAAATTATTTTATATTATACATATAATAAAAAAAAATTAATATTAATATTAGTAGTTACTATATTGATATATACATATAATTAATAATAATTCCTCAGTCCAATTACTTGTTTGATTATCTTCCATCCATTTTCTGAGCTTAACCTGCAGAATTCCATTGGCTCTTTTAACCATTCCTTGTAATTGTGGGTGCCTGGGGCACCCATTAATAATATATACACCTGGCCAAAAGGCTATTAGTTTAGAAATAAGATCAGCGATAAATTCTTTACCATTATCTAATTGTAAAATGATAGGAACCCCAAATACTATAAAAATATCATATAGAAATATTGCTACTTCATAGGCATGCTTGCTTGTGAGATATCGGGCTCAAGAGAACCGAGTAAAATAGTTACGAATATGACAGATATATTTGTATTCATTAATAGGCTGAAATGTTAATCCAACCAGATCAACTTGAACACAGGTAAGAAAATTCAATAGCACAATTGGTTTGGCAGAAAGATCATTGGGAAATAAATAATGTGTAGTACATATTTTATATGCACTACAAAATTCTTTAATAAATGACTGTGGAATATAATCATATTATTTTCTAATCTAAACAGTATTAAAATTAAAATATTTCATAATGATAATTGTTAATAGATTTACTTACTACATTCCATATTTTAGATGATCCAATGTATTTTAAAATACCTATATGAATTTTACATAATATATCATAGAGATGGTTGAAAGGATATATTGTATATATTAATTCTGATCCATTTTTATTCTTTGTAACTGTAATAATTTGTGTATTTGGGTTGTTTTTGGTTCTCAATTCTCTAAGTTGAAAAGTACTTTTAATCCAATAACGATTTTTGGAAGTTCTCAAATTTTTGTTATTAGGTTTATGAAGAACCAAAATAATAAGATCATAATCAGTTTGTGAAATAAACATTTTACGGCGTCTATATAACGATTTTCCTTCAAGATATTTATTAATCAAGTCATTAAAAGCTAGTTTTGAAATAAATAGATATTCTTTATTTAACATTTTGATTAAAAAAAATTTAAAAATTATTTTATACATAATTTAAAATCACTTTAAATACTATATAATACATCATTGTCATAATTATTGATTAATCAATTTGTATGAAATTCTATTACCATCTAAGTCTTTTGAGATCCGAACACCACTTAAGTAGATTCGGAATCTATAGAATTCCAAATCTATCTACAACATATAAGTAAACTAATTATATATATAAAGTCGAGTATTATAACTAGCTTTATTAATATAATATAAAAAATCTATAAAATAATTTTTTTTTATACTTATCTATAGGATAATAAGTATTTGGATAATACTAAAATTAGATTATGCTAAAATTTGAGATCTTGATTTAATAATATACATCCTGCTAAAAAACTGTCTATATATTCCTTTATTATAAATATTAATCTAATCTAACTATAAAAAAAGCTAAAAAATACTTCTAAAAATTTTTAAAATTTTATATATAAAAATAAGTTAAAATTTAACATTATCTGATTTTAGTATTATCTCAATAATAAATAAATAATAGGTTGTTCTAATGCCTATATTAGTTATAGTGATCATAAAGTTATTAACTTTCTATTATAAAGAGGTATATCTTCTTAAGCCTGTGAAAAACAAATAACTATATTATATAAAGATAAATTGACTTTTTTTATAATTTTATCAAGGATATAGATATGATTTTATAGAGTTGTTTAGGAGCATCTATAAATAATATTATACAAGAGGAAGTAGGAGTTTTACAAAAATGATATTTTTTATATTTTTTGCTAATCTAATTTTTTTATAAAAATATTAATATCTCATGACTCAGTAGTCCAAATTGGATAAATTTGGTACCATTAGATTTGTCTTGGTAAGAGAAATCTAATGGTACCAAAATTATTTAATTTGGATTACTGGATCAAAAAATATTAGTAAAAAACTATTAACTATATTATTTTATATAAAATTATTATAGAATTAATAATTTTTTGCCTATATTTTTTGATCCAGTGATCCGAGTTGAATAATTTTGGTACCAATAGATTTTTCTCATTGAGACGAATCTAATAGTACCAAATTTATCTAATTTGGATTACTGAGTCACAAGATAATCAAGATTTTGTAAAAATACAGATTTTAAATTTTTTTTATATAGTTTAGAGGAAGTCAAAAGTTTCTATATAGAGGTATATAATATTATTTATAGATGCTCTCTTATATATTTAAAATTTTTATTAATTAACCAAAATATATACTATATATCAATTTTATTAAAACATAATTTCGATAATAATACTCTTTTTTGATTATTTTAATATAAAACAGCTTTACTATATGTAAAATTTCATACTATACATTTGTACTTAGAAGTACTTAGCCAGTTGTATTAGTAAAATTTTGTATTATTTGCAGTTTTTTGTTTAGCGTTAGGGTTATCATTTGTTTACATTATACGAAGATCATCAAAATTCTGTAATTGTCATTAGTTCTGAGCTGAAATTCTGCAGATTATTTTCTTGACATAAAGGTACCTATATAGACCAACTTTCTCGTGATTGGTCAATTTTATTTAATTGAATTTATACAGTTTAGAGTACTTTTACAACCCCTAATAGTAATTTTTTTTGTTTTAATAATTAAGAACCGGTTAAACTATTCTTAAAGACTTTCGTAAAGAAAGCTTTAAGTATCTTGTGTATCTCTAGGATCTACCACATCTAAGTATACCTTATTAAGAAATGGATTTCAACCTTGAGGAATAACAATGTACAGTAATTGTATGTACTGAAGCTTCTAATCAGCCCTTAAAAAAGGTTACTGACTTTGTTCTAGAATGGGCTCAGCAAAATAAAACTTTACTAGCTTACTTAAAAGTCAACGATGTGATATGCTAGTGGTGTTATAATAGAATAGTTGTTCGACCTTCGGCTGTGATGAAAAAACATGCTCAATTTGCAGGTATTGAAAACTATCCCGATACAGTGATCGATACTCAGGAGGATATCTTGGAGGTAATATCTTTTTCAAATATAATAAAATTTATGACTGAGGTTTTATATCAGCGTGAAGTTACTCAAAAATTGTCAGCGTTTTGGACATTTGAAGAATTTCGTACCTGTATGGAAGCTAAAGATAGACATTTGAAAGCTTTTTTTGATGAACTTGTATTATCAGCAAATTTGTTACAAAAAAAGCATGAATCATATCCTAAAATTATGTCCCAGTTGCTACTCGTTTGTTATATTCTTTGTGGTATACGTAACAAATTTATTATTAATGTAAAGCGTGATCTAGCTCTTTATCTTGATTCTACAAGCACAGGTGATTCAACTATTAATGTTTTAGCAGAACTCAGTATTATATCAATGTCCCAAACAGTTTGGCGTAAAAAAAAAGAAATTTCAGAAAGCTATATGGATACAATAAACAACCATTTGGAAAAATACCGTGAGACTTCTATGGTCTTAAACGTGGACAATTATCATAATATACATACAAATCGTGTCCCAAAGGGTAGTGAAACGTCAACCCCAACTCATATGGCAACAATTCTTCTGAATCCAATAAATACAACATTACCAATTCTTATTAATTTTAACGGTATAAGCATTCATAATCCAAAGCTTATCGATGCTGACTCTCTAAAGGTTGATTTAGAGAATAGATTTATGGAATTGTTAGAAATGTCTTTTAATGAACGATAGAAAAGTCAGGTAAGTGAAAATGAAGAAGAAACTATGAAAACATTAACAATTCATAGTTATGATCTTCGGCTTAAAGAAAGAATAAACGATCGATCATTAAATAATATCATTCTCATCGATCTTGTAAAAAATAATCTACATTCTATTAACAATTATTTGGAAAGTTTGTCTATTATTAGAAAAGTGAATACTATGCGAGAATATTTCGATTCAGGTTATATAATACCTCTTGTGGCTGATTGGCCTGATCAAATATTTTTAAGAAGTGTGATATTACGGTTTCTAACATATGGTGATAAGTCTAATATTTCTCAAGACGTGTTATCATTCATTCCTATCATCAGACCATTGCATATATCTTTAAACAGCTACGAACTTGTTTATATACAGTATTAACCATTTTTCTCTTTATTATATAATAATTTATTTAAGAAAACAAAGGATCTTGGAACTAATATTCAACCCTGGAAGATTAATTTGCTTCTTGAGGTAATTCGTTGTGGCTAGCTTCGAATTTCAGATATCGTTAGAAAAAAATTCGGGCTATGTGAAGATCTTGAATACCTTATATTCAAGGATTTGTTGGATAATTTAATTCCACTTGTTCTTGATATATATGCAATTTTTTTTTGTACCGGTGAATAGAAAGAATATGAAGAGTCAATAATACGGGTTTGGATACGTTTTTTACGGTTTTGTCATCATAATTATAACAAGGCACCACTAATATTTTTATCTGATGTTTCATATTGGAGAAATATTAACCATCCTATTTTAGAAATTTTAAAAGCGCATTTGCCAAAATTTTCAGATACTCCTGTCGAATTATTTCACAGCCTTTTGTGACGAACTACTCAAAAGCATAATAGACAAATCACTTATAATATCAAGCACATTTTATTAATTTTTTAAAATATGAAAAACATCTTAAAGAGTTATTTGAGCATCAATCTACGTGGAAAAAATATTCTTTGAGTCACAAAGATTTAAATAGCTGTACACAAAAAGCAGCATGTTTTTTATTAGAGTGGTTTATTAACATTTACAATCAAATTGCTACAGACGGCATAATAGATTTAAATTCGGGCAGACCAGAAATATTAACCCAAGGAAAAAAAAAAAGAAAAATCGTCAACAGTCCCAATATATCTATGTCAGCTATTGGAATTATTGTGAATACTTGTCACCTTCCTTTGGGTTTTAGTACTTTGCAAAAACCTAACCAATCTATCTT